TAATGTTGTCGCTTCACTTAATATTGAAAAATTTAGCACTTACCCCTTTTGGTATTACCACTCTTCAATTTTATAACAATAATTTTCAAGAGATGTTTTAATAATATAATTAATAAATATTATGGGTCAGATACTATGAGACATAGAGGGTGAGTCTTAAATAAATGTAAATATTTTTAATGGTAGTATATTTTGACCCCAGAAACACGATTATGAAGTTAATTTCGCCAAAAAACTTGAGAATTTGGAATTTTTTCAAAAAGTTTTGGAATATTTTTTATAGTTTTTAGTTAAAAACCATAATTTCTTGATAATATGGCAACATAGGTAATAGATTAAATTTACAAGAAAGAAAACCCACAAAAGATCCTGTGATTTTGAAAATTTAAGCAAAAAATAAATTTTCTGGAAATTTTTAAAGTAAAATAACTCGGCTATCTTGGAATTATTCGAAAAAACAGTAAAGAGAAATTATTATGTTTCTTTTATCGAGATCTATCAGCCCTGAAAATATTTGCACTTATTTAAGACTGACCCTGTGTATCAGTATTTCATGATAGAGTTGTTATACGTAATGTCTATTTATTTTGTCTTCTGGTATGCTGTAAGCTAATAATATATGGAGTAATATTAGATCAACTTTATACTTAACACCATTGCTTGTGTTTTACTTAACTTGTGTTTTGCCATACTAATAAAATAAGAGTTTTTACTTTATTATATTTTTTAATTATTATTATTTTATGTAAAGGCTATGTCAATTATTGATTTTTTCAATATAAAATATATTTAAAATATATTTTTCTAGATTTATGAAATATTCAATAAATAATACAAAAGTTTCTTAAATAAAAAGTTTATTTTTTCTATATATCTTAACAAAATCGGGAATACAACAACTTGGTGTCTTATATTCATCTCTGAAATCTTATATACAATAATTATGTGTTATAAAAACTTCATAAACATTTTCATAAGAGCCAGTCCAGGGTCACTATTCCAAGTGATTGGTGTTGCAGCCTGAGTACCATAAAGAGACTTCAAAGAATTCTGTAACAATAACAAACAAATTATTAGTAATTTTTTAAATAACTTTGCTGCAAAAAAGTATATATCAATTAAATAAAACCCAACAAATATGAGTTAAAAATAAATCCCTACCTTTTATCTTTAAAATCCATTTCTCAAATTAGATCCAATTTCATTCAGCAACAAGTTGGTACAGTCATTTAACTGATAAAATCATCCTGGCGTTATTCTTCATGAATTTCTTAGAACTGCTGTCATTAGAACACATAGAATTATTGGATGAATGCCTGCTCATACTCTTCTGGTCTTTTTCGTGATTGATATGGAAGAATTTGTCGATGGCTTGACGAATCTGGCTGTGCGTACGACTGAACGGATTGGTGTACATTTTGATTAATAATTGTAATAACACACTTCACTTTTGAACTTTTCACTTGCTTTGAACGATTATAGCTTTGTCTGAGAGCGACTACAGCGATAAACTGGTAAAAGCTTTCGCTGCGACTGGTTTATATAGAAGCAAACTACTGCTGGCGTCATGGCCAATGTCAAAGGCTACCATCGAAGATGCGGACGTCAATAAAAATAGTAGAAATGTAATTAACGACCCGTGTATATCACATTTTTGTTAATGGATTATATTTACTACTGGGTTTTTTAGATTTCGTATTGTTTTATGTCATATGTAGGTTATTTTGTTAATTATCCTAAAGTATGTCGTGTATAGAATAGTTGTTTAACAATTTAAAGTGGTGAAATTAAGTGTTTGTCCTTTATATTTAAATATTTTCTGGAATAAATAATATGTAATAGACTAAATTACAATGTTATTGAACAAAATTTATTGATCAAATGCACTGGAGGCCGGTAATTTAGGAAGAATTTATTGGTATAATAAAAATGATTTTTTTCAAATTATTTAGAAAATCATAGAACCCAATTAAAAAGTTATAAACACAATATTTTTTGTAAGAGGCAATAACGTAAAAACTAAAATGATGTTTAAGCTTAAGTGTATTTAAAAATATATACCTCAGCAATGAAATCAAGTACCGTACAATAAAAAAAATGCCAAAATGATTTGGGAATCAAGATTGCTGTCATTTTGTGGGCAAAATTATAGAGACACAAACGGATCTCTTCAAAACGGACAAAACCGCAACGGAACATAGATTTTGTTGTTTTCAACTAAACAGCCACCGAAGTATCCTTTTGGAGGAACAAATTTAAGGTTAGATTTCAGGAAGATATTTTCCATAGGGTAAGATGAAATCCTTCCTCTAGGAGATGCCAGACCTTGTTGTTTGTGGGGTAGCTCCTAGCCAAGTGCTAGAGGGAATCCCCTCTGGCACTTTGGTTGGGTCTAAGAAGCATCTCATTGTTAAATCCCTGGCTGTAGTGCCATGACATATTCTGACACTTTGTTAAGTAGTTTCCGTTTGGATTTAACGCCAGAAGTGTTTACAAAAAATAACTATTTTGTTTTGTAGATTTTCTTGCAGTGGCGAAATACCTATATGGGATTTTTTTTTGGAGAGATGATTACACCACGTAGGTATAGACATTTTTTACAAGTCAAATGTGCGCCGTTGTTTTTTGATCATAATATGTATTATTATAATAAAATCAATTATTAATATTACTTAAGAACGAGAATGTAAGATATATTTTTATAAATACACTTTATAACGTTTTAGGTTAGGTTAGGCAGCAGTATTAATAATATACGAAATTAAAATAATTAGTTTTCTGACAGAAGGAAATAAATTGTCTAGTTGTTTGACACTTAATGCCAAAAGAGGCTAGATAAAATCAAGATAATATATGCTTTAAAGCTAAATCTTAAATAACTTAAAAAAAATTATTTTAAGT